CAGCAGCCAGATTTATTTATGACTTACTGTAAGAGATTACAAATATATCTTTAAGAAAAAAAATCCGGGACTGTAAGAGGCAGACCTTTTTAAATACAAGAGAATGATTAGAGACTGAGCAGACACTTTGTACACTTAAAGATTGACAGCATTATCTGTTCTATCTTTTGCCTTTAATTCTTCACTTCTATTCACTTTCTAGCCCATGGAGATCTGCTTCTCCTACTATAATGAAATTCTTCTCACTCTGTGTTCAGTGACCTCCAAAGCCAATGAGCTGTTCTCCTCTACAGACCTAATGTCTCTCTGTCCTTTAGATAAGAATGGCTCAAATCCCCATCTTGTATCCCAGGGGAAGTCAAATGCCCTCTCCACCCACCTCTCATCTCCCTGTTAACTTCTCATCCTTTAGGTCTCTGATGCACACCCCACCCCCAACTCCCAAATTCAGGCCATTGTGTGTAGCAGAATAACCTGGTTTACAGGCTGCTGGAATAGTTATATAGAGACATTTCATAACTGACAACTTACCACTGCATAACAGTCACCCAGCATTTTTTTTTTTTTTTTTTTTTTTTTTAGACGGGGTTTCGCTCTTGTTACCCAGGCTGGAGTGCAATGGCGCGATCTCGGCTCACCGCAACCTCCGCCTCCTGGGTTCAAGCAATTCTCCTGCCTCAGCCTCCTGAGTAACTGGGATTACAGGCACGCGCCACCATGCCCAGCTAATTTTTTGTATTTTTAGTAGAGACGGGGTTTCACCATGTTGACCAGGATGGTCTCGATCTCTCGACCTCGTGATCCACCCGCCTCGGCCTCCCAAAGTGCTGGGATTACAGGCTTGAGCCACCGCGCCCGGCCAGTCACCCAGCTTTTAAAAGTTTTTTCTGTCTTTGTCACAAAGGGTTTCTCACTGGCCACGCCATCTTACTGATTTCAACCCCTCCTTTTACTCTGCCTCCTGAGCTAACTTTGACACTGTAGCTTTATTAAGGATGGCAATTCAGGTTTGCCCATCTAAGCCCATCAAACAGCTCAGTGAAAAAAGGGTTTCTGCTACTGAGCAAAAGATCTGCGAGGTTCTGGACTTTGCTTCACAGATGCCCAGCCTCCTTGAAAAGTACCACATCTCAAGTATCTGCTTTTGGGAGAGGAAGACAAGGAAAGAAAGGCACCACACCCAGGTAGAAGTGCTTATCTGCAGCACCGCGCACTGCTGACTGGACTCCTTCCAACTGAAACTCCCCCACAGAACCTCTAGTTTTCCTCCCCCATCTTTTCCTCATCTCCTTCAGGAGACTTAGCTTTTGCCTGACCCTTAGGCTGGGGGTCCTCAGTGTTCTGTTGTAGCGCTCTGCAACTGTGTCCTCTCAGTTGAGGATTCTTAGTCTTGGCTGCACATTAGATCACTGGGGAGGAAAGACGGGGAAAAATGTGCTTCCTAAAAACCGTATGTCCAGGCTGCAACCCAGACCAATGGAGTCAGATTTCTGGGCATGGGACTAAGGCCTCAGCAAATGTTAAAACTCTCCAGGTGTTTCCAATACATAGCCTAGCAACAGGTTCTCGACTGTGGGCATGCACTAGAATCACCTAGGGAGTTGTATGTATGTATATGATTTATTGATTTATTTGATAGGTTCTTGCTCTGTCACCCAGGCTGGAGTGCAGTGGTACAATCGTAACTCATCGAAGCCTTGAACTTGTGGGCTCAAGTGATCATCCTGCCTCAGCCCCGCAAGTAGCTGGGACCACAGGTGCATGTCACTACATCCAGGTAAATAAAACAATTTTTTTTTGGTAGAGATGGTGTCTTGCTATGTTGCCCAGGTTGGTTTCAAACTTCTGCACTCAAGCGATCTTACCACCTCAGCCTCCCAAAGTGCTAGGATTATAGGCATCAATTGCCACACCTGGCCACCCTAAGGAGCTTTAAAAACATACTGATGCCTTGACCTCACACAAGACCAACTAAATCAAAATCTCTGGTGTTGGGTCTGAAATGATGAAATCATGCAGACAGCATTAAGAAGCATGGCTCTAAGCATTCCACCCTGGATAATCTCAACTACTGCCTGGGCATTAGTTACCCTCTCTAAGGCAATGACTCCCTGTACAGCCTGTATCCATATTCCCTATAACCTCCTGGTATTCTCTACCCGGACACTCCAAAGTACCACATTCCCCACCACGCTCATGTCTTTTAGCTATGCTTGTATCTGCTGCACAGCACAGTGTCTACTTATTAACCAAATCTGAATGCTAACTCCAACCCCCTACTTACATGTCCAAAATGGAAATCCTGATTTCCCCCAACTTGTTCCTTCCTTAGCCTTCCCCATCTCAGTAACCATCCAGTTGCTCAAGTCAAAATTCTATAGATCTATTTATTGTATCTCTAGTCACAACAGCCAAGATTTGGAAGCCACCTAAGTGTCCATCAACGGATGAATGGATAAAAAAAATGTGGTACTTAACACTCAAGGGAGTAGTTTTCAGCCATGAAAAGAATGCGATTCAGATGGAACTGGAGGACATTACGTTAAGTGAAATAAGCCAGGCACGGAAAGACAAATTTGGCATGCTCTCACTTCTTTGTGGGAGCTAAAAATTAAAATAATTGAACTTGTGGAGACAGAGAGTAGAATGATGGTTACCAGAGTCTGGGAAGCGTAGTGGGCAGGAGGGAGTAGGGATGCTTAATGAGTACGAAAATATAGTGAGATAAATCAATAGGAGCTAGTATTTGATAGCATGACAGGATGATTATAGTCAACAAAAATTTATGATACATTTAAGAATAACTAAAAGGGGTCAGGGGCAGTGCGTCACACCTATAATCTCAGCATTTTGGAAGGCCGAGATGGGAGGACTGCTTGAGGCCAGGAGTTCGAATCCAGCCTGGTCCACATAGAGAGATTCTATCTTTATTTAATTTTAAAATAATAACTAAAATGGTAATATTGAAATGCTTGTAACACAAAGAAATCATAAATGCCCAAGGTGATGAACACCCATTTACCCTGATGTGATTATGTATTGCATGCCTGTATCAAAAGATCTCATATACCCATAAATACAGGCATCTGCTATGTACCCACAAAATTTAGTTTTTAAAAGTCTAGACATCATCGTAGTTTCCCTCATCCTGCATTCAAATTCACTGACAAGCTTCACCGTTTCAACCTCTAAAATGTACCTCAAATTGCTTTAGTTTGTCCTATTTCCATTGTCACCCTCCTGGACTATTACAATAGCCTCCTTCCTAGGTTATCTTTTGAAATATCCATCAGATCACATCACTTACCGCTGAAAACCTTCCAGTGGTTCCCCTATTGCTTTTTCGAATGAAATTCAAATGCCTTAACTTGGAGTATGAGGACCTACATGACACTCCCCCTGCCGACTTTCCACCCTCGCTCAGCGGTAAGGTCATCTTACAACCATCTACCAGGGGCTACCTCGGCCAGCACCAAGAAGAGCAGCTTCCCTTCCCTGTGTCTTCAGACAGTCGATTTCTGTTTTCTTTTTTTTTTTTTTTTTTTTTTTTTTTTTGAGACAGAGTTTCGCTCTTGTTACCCAGGCTGGAGTGCAATGGCTCGATCTCGGCTTACCGCAACCTCCACCTCCTGGGTTCAGGCAATTCTCCTGCCTCAGCCTCCTGAGTAGCTGGGATTACAGGCATGCGCCGCCATGCCCAGCTAATTTTTTGTATTTTTAGTAGAGACGGGGTTTCACCATGTTGACCAGGATGGTCTCGATCTCTCGACCTCGTGATCCACCCGCCTCGGCCTCCCAAAGTGCTGGGATTACAGGCTTGAGCCACCGCGCCCGGCCTCTGTTTTCTTAAGATACAAAATGTGAACAAACAGGACTGACACCTGGTCATTCCCAGTCAGGAATGGGAAGGTATCTTAGCTACAGCACAACAGGCCTTCTCTTCTAGACTGCTCCACAGCAATACCTATCAGTGACTGAGGAAGGCTCCATTGTGATTTATCCACCATCCATTCTCACAACTGCCCAGCTGGACCAGATTAAAGAGGTTACAGCAACCTACATATGCACAACACACCCACATACTTGAAAACAGGACTAGGCTATTCCCCTAGGAGCACTACCACCTCCAGAGTCCACAGGTAGAAAATCTGGGCCTGGCCAACAGGGAGAATGCAGTGTGGTCTTTTAGAGCATGTTATCAGGCCTGTGGCCGGTTGGGTCTGGATGCTGGCACATCCGCTGCAATCCCTGGGGAGCTCTCTGAATGCACACTGGCTTTGCTCTCTCCTCTCTTGTCCGTGATTTGTTTATAAGCCTGAGAATTGTGAGGGGAATCTGTCACATCTTTCATAATGAAGACAAAGCACAGTGGCTTCTGGGGACAACAGGGAAGCTAGTGACCCTGAATTCTTCACATTCAGAGATGTGTCCTAATTGATCTGAAATTATAATAAAATACAGACAGTGCTTGGCAAATAGCAAGAGATGCATACCTTCTAAATAATTAAAAACTTCTTGAAGGAATGGGTATGATAAAGCCCAGTGTCAACAGTGCCTACACACTTCTGTATGTGCCTGGAATTAAAAATGAATCTGTATTTACTCTCATTTCTATAAACATTTCTCGGATGCAGAGAAGTAGCAGCACAAAGGAAGAAGATTGGTTATCAATTACATGCTGACTGTCTCAAGGCATTCTTTCTGAGGAGCAGAAAAGCCTCTGGTGTAATCGTGTGAGGGCCTTGGAGGCTCACAGACGCAGGACTGAACTCTGGCTTTACCACTTATCTGTGTGCCCTAGGCAGGTTCCTTCACTTCTCTAAGTCCCAGTTTCTAAGTTAGGAATATCACCTTCTTGCAGGGTTGTTATGGGGATTTATGTAGGTAATGGAGGTAAAGAGTTTAAGGCTGCCTTATGAAGCAAGTCCTGGCTAAATGACAGCTATTGCCACTACATTATCACACTCGTTATAAGCGGCAATTCCGGGTCTATTACTTACCTCCTGCTGTCCCCCTTCTGGGCCCTTGCCCACTGCTCCACCTGGGCCAGGTTGCTCTTCCTTTGGCTGTGCTTTTCAGGGTTGGTCCTGGGAGGAAAGACCCGCTGGTACCCACCAGTCCCGTTCTGCTCTCCTGGGCAATATGAGGCAGGCAGCATGCCATTCTTTTCTGCCCGCTGGGGCTGTGCCTGCTGGCCTCTTGGGCCACCGGGTAAATCCACGAACAAGGCATCCTCCTCGGCTGGCGAGTATGGAGACCTGGCCTTGCTCCGGTCCCGCTTGCCCTCCAGTGGGTCCCTCTGGGAACGGTACCGCTCTTCCTCCTGCTCTTGCCTCTCGAAGTTGACAAAGTCGTCATGGCCACGATGAAGACAATCTCTCGTATGTCCGGGTCCCACCCGGCCACACTCATGACAGGACTCTGTGTGGTTGGCCTGGGGGACAGCCTGCCGCTCCGCCTTCTCCATGTCCCTGCAATGACAGCAGCACATTCACCTTGCTCCACAGCCAAGACTCCACAATGAAACACACTATACACTCAGTCACCTGAAGGCCTTTGCACAGAATATTCCCTCTGCCAGGAACACCTTTCATGCTCATGTCCTCATTCACCCTGCCTAATTTCTGCTCCTTTGGGGATCTGGCTTAAACATCACCTCCTCCAGGAAGCCACCCCTGATGTACACTTCCAAGTTAGAATAGGATCTTACGCTGATCCCACTCTCACACTAATCACACTGGACCATAATTGTGTGTTTACTCATCTAGCTCCCAACTAAACTATAAGCTCCTTCTGGCCAGAGGCCTGACTGGCTGATTATCATATGCCCAGAATTTCTATACAATGACTGGTATAGAATAGGCACTCCATAACTACTACTGCAAGAGAGAATGAATAAATTATACATGTAACATTCTCATGAAGACCACGCCTGTGCTCCCATTCTACTCTGTGCTACTGATCTTGCCTTTTCCTTCTGCAATTTGTCTGTCTAGGGCTTAGATCAGGCATCCCCAAACTTTTTACACAGGGGGCCAGTTCACTGTCCCTCAGACCGTTGGAGGGCCGCCACATACTGTGCTCCTCTCACTGACCAATGAAAGAGGTGCCCCTTCCTGAAGTGCGGCCGGGGGGGGGGGAGCAGATAAATGGCCTCAGGGGGCCACATGTGGCCCTCGGGCCATAGTTTGGGGACGCTTGGCTTAGATGGAAGGCTCCTGAGCTTAGGATCCCTCCCACTAGGGTTTAGAACAGCCCAAAGTACAAATGATAGTATAATTAACACTCTTCAAAGATGGCGAATAGAGAACAGGCACAGCAGCCTCCTTACGTGAACAGCAACCTGTTCCTATCTTATCAAGGAACAGTTCTGTGAAGTATTATTAGTCAGACTTTAGCAATAAGGAAACTGAGGCACAGAGAAGCTCAATTATTTGCCCAAGATCAAACAGCTGGAACAGAGTGGAGACTGGGTTTAAACCCAGGTAGACTCCAGAGCCCATGTGCGTTAGGTTTTGCTCTATTGTCTCCACGTGTGTCCACACAAACCTGGAAGCTATAAAGGAGAACAGGGTGGGGTGATAGGTCAGGGTGTGAACTGAGGCTACAGGTGGAGCTTTGGGACATGGTAGAGGGCTCCTCTTTCATGGTCCACCTCCCTCTGTAAGTTGCCCTTCTCTCTGCCTCCTCAGGGCAGGGTTCTAGTTGCCTGCATACTGATCACCTGGCACCAGGGATACAACAGTGGCTCCACAAGCTTTGCAGAATTTAGATTAGGGAGGCAAGAGAACTTGCTCCAGCTCAGCTCAGATGGACTAGAAAAATTACCAAAGACCTTTACTTAGATGGGGCAGCTGGTTTAGCCATACTCCTTGGTAAAAAGGTCCTGGCCTTAAGATCCATCACTCAAAATGGCCAAGCCAGAGGCATTTTCATCTCAATATGAGAGTACTTAATAGAAAAGCTACTGCATTTACATCTTGGTGGCCATAACATCTTCAGAATCTCAACTACCAATAATCAACACAGGTTCAAGGCAGAACAATCCACCCTAAGAGCTAGTTAGAATGTCAATATAATGTGAAAATACAACCCTCCACATGGGGTTTACTTTTCACTGTGTATGGGTCTGTTGTCTTTAACTTAGGTAGGGTGATATGGTTTGGCTGTGTCCCCACCCAAATTTCATCTTGAACTGTAGTTCCCATAATCCCTATGTGTCGTGGGACAAACCTGCTGGGAGGAAACTGAAGCATGGGAGAGGTTGCCCTCATGCTGCTCTCCTGACAGTGAGTGCATTCTCACAAGATCTGATGGTTTTAGAAGGGCTTTTCTCTCTTTTGCTTGGCACTTCTCCTTCCTGCCATCATGTGAAGAAGGACATGCTTGCTTTCCCTTCCACCAAGATTGCAAGTTTCTTGAGGCCTCCCTAGCCATGTGGGGCTGTAAGTCAATTTTTCTTTCCTTTATAAATTACCAACTCTTGGGCAGTTCTTTACAGCAGTGTGAGGACTAACACACAGGGAGAACTGAGAAAAGCAATCACTCTTCTCACTGTTCATGTACCAATGTCTTTTCCATGGAAACCCCAAGCTTTGTGGGGAAAAAAATTGCATACTTGGAACTCCTTTTACCCAACAGAGAACATCTTTCCTCTCCAGCTCCCACACTGTACTCATTACCTTTCTGATAAGAGCATTTCGATTTTCATTGGGGGATCACTTTCTCCTGCCCTCAGTCCAGGTGGTTTGGTGCTGCTGACTCCCTGTCCAGCTGAAGCTCCACAGTCTCAGTGACTGGTTCAGGAGTTGACTACTCCAGGTCAATCAGAGTTAGCCCTGGGACTTGGGTTGGAACTGCTCCAACTACGTGGGAAGGCACTACTTGAGAATGAAGTTAACAAAGGAAAGCAGATGAAGAAACAGAAAAGACTAAAACTTGGCTTAGGCTCCTACATCTAGCGATATGTAAACCAGATATCTCTTCGGACTTTTTGGTTATGAATGAATAAATTCCTTTTTTTTTTTTTTTTTTTGAAACATCATCTTGCTCTGTTACCCAGGCTGGCATGCAGTGGCATGATCATGGCTCACTGCAGCCTTCATCTGCTGGGCTCCAGCAACCCTTCCACCTCAGCCTCCTGAGTAGCTGGGACTACAGGTACATGCCACCATAATCTGCTAATTAAAAAAAAATTTTTTTTTTTCTTTGTAAAGGCTGGGACTGGCTCTGCTGCCCAGGTTGCTCTCAAACTCCTGGGTTCAAGTGATTTGCCTGCCTCAGCCCCCCGAAGTCTTAGAATTACTGGCGTGAGTCACCTTACCAAGCCTAAATTCCCTTTTCCACTGTTAGTTTGAATTTGGTTCTGTCACTTATACTGGAAAGAGTCTTGCTTATTGAATCATTTTACAATGACATATTGAGATAGTGATGAGTGAGGGTCTATCCATAGCCAACATTCAGTGCTTTATAAATTTCAGTAGTAGGAAAACATGGGAAATAGTCAGGAGCCTATACTTAAAGAAAAGTAATCCATCTGGGCATGGTGGCATGCTGAGGCAGGTGAATCACCTGAGGTCAGGGTTCGAGGCCAGCCCGACCAACATGGTGAAACTTTATCTCTACTAAAAATACAAAAATTAGCTTTGTGTGGTGGTGTGCACCCATAGTCCCAGCTACTGAGGAGGCTGAGGCAGGAGAATCACTTGAACCCAGGAGGCGGAGGTTGCAGTGAGCCAAGATTGCACTACTGCTTTCCAGCCTGGGCGACAGTGGGAGACTCTGCCTCAAAAGAGAAAAAGTAATTCTTACTGTAAGCTCATAAAGGGGCAACTGTTCCACAATCTACATATGACAGGATTTTTTTTATTTTCTTTTTTTCCACACAATGCGTTTTAGCTTTGTCTTTCCTTTCTCCCTTTAATCCTCCATAGCTAGATCAGTGTAACCTGAACCAACAGTCCTGAAGTTGCCTAAGTTGGCCATTATCTTCTTTTTTTTCTTTTCTTCTTCTTTTTTTTTTTTTTGATACAGGGTCTCACTCTGTCACCAAGGCTGGAAAGCAGTGGTGTGAACACAGTTCACTACAGCCTCAACCTCCTGGGATCAAGTGATCCTGTGTAATTGGGTACCACAGGTACCCACCACCATGTCTGGCTAATTTTTAATTTTTTTTTTTTTTTTTTTTAAAAAAACAAGGTCTTTCTTGTTGCGCAGACTGGTCTCGAAATCCTGGGCTCAAGCAAAATCTTCCCACCTTAGCCTCCCAAAGTGCTAGGATTACAGGCATGAACCACTACACCAAGCCTATCTTCTTTATTTTCTCTCACTTCCAGGAAACCACCCACAGAGGATGTGCTAAGACTGCTTCAGAGATGATTAAGGCTCTGGCTGCCCTCTGGATCACACTCTGGCCAAGTCACTGAAGCTTTATAATCTGGCATGCTGCTTTGGTTTCACTTGCTCTGATATTTCTAAGTGGTTACTCCAATTGTGATACCCAGGTAATTGTATCTCCTTGTTATTCATACCCCAAAGATAAATAGTACCTTGACATAAAAGCCAGATAGTGAAACAAATATGCCATCTATATGTATGAAATTAGAATTGAAAGGAAATGAAAGATTCTTCAACTCCGGGACCCAAAGATTGTGAGCGCAATGTCTCAGCTCAACGAACTGTAATGTGGATTTTTCTTCCTTCACTAGCCAATCACCATGTATTTACCAAGCACCTATACAGCCCCCACTGGGACAGGCACCTGGGAGTATAAGAGTGACTATAGAGAAAATAACCTATATGACTATAGAGAAAATAGCCTTTGCCTTCAAAGCCAGACAACTCTGAAGCCCAATTTAATTACGGTAACCACATTTAATACTGTTCTCATAAACACCTGACCTCCTAAATCATGGAGTCTATTAGTCTTCTCTAACCTTGGAGATAATTTTATAACCATAATTCTTAGTCCTTACAATATATGTACATGAGTATACACACTCCCATATATGCCAGTACTTCCTGGAAATAAATTTGACAGAGGATGATAAATCATTTTATTTAGACTAATATCAGCATTTATTGCAAAACAAAGCTTTAGAGGGCAGCTAAGTGAATGGTGGTCAGCTTGCTACCAGGCAGTTTTCTAGCCCTGAAGACTTTGGAGTTATGAACAGCTCCTAATTCCCACGGCTTCTGGGACTCACATAAGATGCGCCCGTGTGCCCAAAATGTTCAGGCTCTGGCTGCAGGTAAGAGCGGTGAAGGTAATATTCCCTACTCCCCCACCTTACCTGACCTAAATGTTTAACTTACTAAGTTATGGAATTTAAGGTCAAAAGGGGTTTTTGGTATTCTCCCTGTCTCCTTGCATTCCCAACAATTTAACATATGACCTCTCAAATCAGGAGACTTGTCACAAAAGAGATCTGCAATGCTTGATTTGGCACAATGATGGGAAAGAATGAAGCAT